AGGCACATATTTTGTGAAAGTGAGGCTTATAGTCGTAAAACTATCTGAAATTTTTTTCTTTGTGCAATATTCTTGCCTTTAAATAGTTATCATCAGTGAACTAGGATATTCTGTTCCTCGAGATGTGACTTAACAAGTAGATAAACATACTCTGGTTTCTCTTCAGATCGCATAAATCTTTCGCCTTTTACTAAAGATTTCCGTGGAGAGGAACAATTCTGAGTCTTAGGTCAATTTTTTGAAGCCTTATTTTAAACTAAGGCTACATTTAACTATGTGGAAAAATAGAATTTTAAATTGTTGGAGTATTCTTTCAAGCAAGCAACAAACTTGAAACTCAACTACTAGAGCTGTTCGCTTTAAAGCCGAGATTTTGAAAAATAGTTTGAGGATAAGCGATGACTTTTTTTCCCGGGTAATTATAAAATGGTAGTATATGCTTTTGTAATTATTATATGTAAGTGGGAGTTTTTACACTTGTTTTTCAATTTTTTTTTTCATTATTTCTAGGCTATTAATCTTATGAGTTTGTTTCTTATGTAGTGAAGTACTTGTACACACATGGTGGCTTTCCTATGTAACTCTAGAAAGCTGAGGCAGGATAATTGTATAATTCAAGCTTAATCTGGTTTACAGATTTTGATGAAACCGTCTCCAAAAAAAGCAGAGGAGGGATATAGCTCCGTGTTAGTAGTAAACAAGTAGAATTTTTGTTGGTTATGAAGTATAATTAATTCCTATCTATTTATAGCTTCTCTTTTTGCTCTTGTAGAGATTTTAGTCTTAGTATCAGGTCTGTTTTTCATTATTTTTGTTTTGTTTTGTTTAAGCAGATTACTATGGACTGAGACCTCTGAAACCCAAGCCAAAATCAACGTCTCCTCCTCTAGATTATTTCTACGCGTGTCTGATCACAGCAAAGAGAAGCTGGGACAGTGAGCCTGAGGGCAGAGCCTGAGCAGACTGAAGCAGCCCCCACCCCTCCTGGGAAGCGGGCCCACTGAAACTTGCAGACCTGGGACAGATGAAAGACCAGAGGATGTGGCCGGGGAAGAGGTCAGGACGTGCAGGTTCTCATCCTGCAATGCCACCCACTGGCTTTGTTACCTCTACAGCCCAAGCCTAGGACCCTCTAGGGGCAAGGGTTCCCTGTCTGTTGGGTGATTTAGGTAATCTCCAGATTTCCCCCAGGCTCTGACAGTGCAAGATGCTCAACTCTGGGCTTAGGGAGTGGAGGAGATAGGAGTGTGAGCAAATGAGACAGCACAACCTGTGGTAAGAGCTGCCCTGCCTTTGGTTAGGAGGCTGAGCCAGGTTCCCATTTGCTAATATTTCATCGGGTTTTTTGTTTGTTTTGCAGTACTGGGGATGGAACCCAGGGCCTTGCCACTGAGCTTCATCCCCACTCCTTTTTATTTGAAACAGGGTCTGAGGTGCCCAGGCTTAGTTGAACTTGGGATCCACCTGCCTCAGCCTCCTGAGTCTCATATTACAGGTATGCACCACACAAACCTACCTTAATCATCTTCCAGTAAGTGCCACAGATACTGGAGACAGGCACTTGTCACCAACTGGGCAGTGGGGTGTGGCAGCGGCAGGCAGACAACAGGCCTGCCTTGGTACTGGCGTCTGTGGGGAAGCTGCTAACGAATACCTGTGTCCCCACCATTCACCACTGAGACGGGTACAGGCCCAGCTAAAAAAGGTTGAAAGGGTGAATGGGTGCCTGACTGGGCAGGTGACAGCAGCATGGACAGGTGGGCAGAGGGGGAGGGAGAGAGGCAGGTGTCTCTCCCGCCACAAGAGTTACTGGAGATGAAGGTGCCTTGTGGGACAAACTTGTGCAGCCATGTGACCATACTCGAGGGACTTCACTTCCCCATGCCTCAGTCACATCATCTGTAAAACAGGCACAATGGTAGTGGTGTCTATGCACAGGCGTGTTAGGTGCTGTCACTGGGAGAACATTTCACAGCACGGACATCAGGCACCTGGGGCTGAAGCAAAACAGGCTCTCTGTGAAGACACCCGTGGGAATAGGAAAAGATAGGGTCTCATTATCCAGTTCAAGCTGCCTTTGAACTCACTATGTACCTGACGCTGGCCTCACAGCAATCCTCCTGCCTCAGTCTCCCCAGTGCTGAAATTATAGGTATGCACCACCATGCCTGAGGACTTAAAAGTTTTTTAAACTTAATCTGTTAGAGTAGATAATACATCCACCGGACAAGAAAAGTGGAAATCACTCAAGTAGGCGGGTCCTGGCTGACCTCGCACCCTCCTGTGCCTACCACCCACCAGCTGTGAGCCCCAGGAAAGGCTGGCAGTGCTGATAGACCTGAGAGGGCCAGGGAGAGGCCATGGGAGCAGAAAGGAGACCCCGACCAGGGGAAAGTGAGAAGATGGTGCATCTGGGGCACCAGCACCACTGCTCTGTTGTCTGAGCGGCCCACCAGAATCCTAACTCAGCCCCAGTAATCAGGGACAGGGCCAAAGTTTAATGAAAGAAAGACGAAGGGAGGGAGAAAGGAGAAGATAGATAGCTACCCGGATAAGAAAGAGTCAGGGTAGCAGGCTCCAGAAAGATGGAGGACCCATGGGCCCTCTGTCCTCAGCTATTTTACGGGGAAGGGCAGTGACTGGGTCCTGGTCCCCCAGAACCTGCCATAACTGGACTGCCTCCCAGGCGCCTCTGCCTCCGCCTCCTGCCTCATTTCTTCTGTGGTGTCTGCACAGCTGCTGACTTGTCGTTACTGTACCTTTTAAGGCCTTATCTCTGGGGTGGGCGGCTAGCTGGCAAGGAGGTGCCTTATCCTCCGTTAGCCTAGAGTTAGTAAGGGGGCATGTAGATACCTGCTATACTCTATACTGACTCTAGAGTGAGTACGGTAGTGACCCTAGGGTGAATACACATGTACAGAAGTCTGTGAGTTAGTGCACAGGTGTGAGTGCACACTGCCTTAAGGTCAGTCAGCGACCCCTTTGCTTCCCCTGTATTTTATTGGAGGTGGAGGTGGCTTATTGTTTGTGCACCTGCCTTTCTGTGTCCTGCCTGTCAGCTCTTTTTCTGGTCTCTTGGTGCAAGCCCCAAGGCCATTTGGTGCCTTTCTTTATCTGGGGTTTTTCTTTTTTTCTTTTTCTACCCTGTTTTTGACTTGCTTCCCAGGGGAATCTCTAGTAAAGTCTCTTTTTAACTCCTTCTAGTCAGGATTAGCTAGAAGACCTAAGGAGGCCCCTATTTTATTCTCTCATCTGCAGACCCCTGTCCTTACAAAAAGACACCAGGAATGTAGGAGAAGAGATGGGTGGGTCCTCAAAGCAGGCTTAGGGAGAAGGAAGCCAGCCTCGTGAGACAGAGGCACCCCGGGCCCCTTGCAGATGGCTGCCAGGAGCGAGGGGAGATCCACAGTCAGTGCCGCAGGTCTGGAAATCAGCATACCCGAACACCACAAGTGGGCGTAATAAGGATATGGACTACACTGCTGGAAATCAGAAACATTTAAAAAATATAAAGGGGGGCGGGGGATTTAGCTCAGTGGTTTCGCTGCCTGCTGTGCAAGCGCAAGGACCCGAGTTTGATCCCCGGTACCAAAAAATAAATAAATAAATAAAGGGTACTATTTAGTTTACTATAGATGTGATCTGGGTGCATACAAAATCTGTAATCGCACAGAAGACAGCCTGAAGGATATACCACCTGGTGACAAAGGTACCCCGGGGAAGGGACTGGGCAGAAGAAGAGACACTTGCAAGTAGATGAGGAGCCATGAGATGACAGGGAGAAGGATGGTAAAGAGAAATGTTTAAATTTTTTTTATTTTTATTTTTGGTACTGGGGATTGAACTCTGGACCTTGTGCTTTCGAGGCAGGCGCCGGAACCACTGAGCTAAATCCCTGGCCCACAAATGTTTAAATATTGATTGACTGAGGGTGAGGGTCTGGAACTCACTGGTTCAAGTGATCCTCCTGCCTCAGCTTCCCAAGCAACTGAGATTACAAGCAGGTGCCACCATGCCTGGCTCCAAAGAGAACACCTGGGACTCTAGTGTATGATACACAGTGTTCACTCCTCCTGGCCTCTCTCCCACACTATTCAACAAAAACTTAGGCATCTCCTCCTTTCACTTTTGGATACTGGACTTTCCTTTCCAAGGTGAAACTAACATTCGCCGCTTGGTGAGAATTTTTGATGCAGGGCGCTGGGCTGGGGCTCTCCAGTGCCATATGAGCGCTGATACTTGGGACAAGCCATGCAAAGGGGCAGAAACCACAGGCAATGGGAGCAGAGGAGGAGCAATGGATTCTGCCTGGGAGTCGCAGAGATCTGAGTGGAGATGCGGGCTTTGGGCCTTAACGAAGAAAACACAGACCATTCCAGGTGGAGGCCTGGGAGAGGGCTGCAGGGTGGGCTGGGTGGGCACTTTGCCAGGCTTTAACTGCCACTGGGGAAGTCAGAGTCCCAGAGACCACACTTCCTATGGCCAATCCTGACTCAGCCTCCAGACAGGGAGAGGAGTACTGGACTCAGGGCTGAAGATCCCAGGCCCTCACCCCAGAGGATAAGCTGGCGTCGTGGACAACAAAGAGATCAGGGCTGCTTCTGAACTGTTTGTGTTAGAAATACCTCATGGGGTGGTGAACACCTGGAATCCCAGCACTCAGGAGGCTGAGGCAGGATGATTGTTGTGAGTTCAAGGCCAGCCTGACCTACATAGCAAGACCCTATCTGTCTCAAAAAAACAAACAAAAGCAAAAACAAGACAAATACCCACACAGGAAGAAGCACGAAGACAAACACCCTGGGCACACTCAGTGCGCTCCAACCCCATCCCTTCTGAAATATGAGGATCCTGGAGCCAGGGAACTGGGGAAGCCAGAGCCGGGTGTCAGGTCAGGGAACCCGGCTGGGCAAGGCACGGAGGGACGGCTGGGGACAGATGCTAAGGGACTGCATATGCCTAGGATAATTAACTTAAAAGAAAGGTTTACTTTAACTCACAGTTTCTGAGGTTTCAATTCACGGTCACTTGGTCCCTTAGCTTTGGGCCATGACAGCACCCGTCCATCAAGGCAGGAGCGCGGACAAAAAGCTGCTCACCTCACGGTGCTCAAGAAGCTGAGCAGGGGGGGGGGTCCTCCTATAGACCACGCCTCCAGTGACATCACTTCCTGCCTCTAGGCTCCACCTCTTAAAGCTTCCACCACCTCCCAATAGTGAGAGAGGCTGGGGATCACTTTTTTTTTTTTTTTTTGGTACCGGGGATCAAACTTGGGACCTTGCACATGCGAGGCAGGTGCCAGAATCACTAAGCTAAATCCCCAGCCCTAAAGTTCTCTTTTTAAATTTTTTTTTTATTTTTTGGGTACCAGGGATCGAACTTGGGACCTTGCACTTGAGAGGCAGGCGCCGGAACCACTGAGCTAAATCCCTGGCCCTGGGGACCACATTTTTAACACATGGGCTTTTGGGAAACCTCCCGATCCAAGCTAGAGCAGTTACAAAGTTCTTTCCTTGGAGGGGTGCATGTGAGAAAGGATGATTCCCCCCTATTTTTGGTGGTATTAGGATTGAACCCAAGGCCTTTGCCCTGAGCTGTATCCCTTTATTTTATTTATTTTGAGACAACATCTCAAAAAGTCACTGTCATTACCCGGGCTGGGCTCAAACTTATGATCCTCCCACCTCAGCCGTCCAGAGTGTTGGGATTACAGGTATGTGTCACCATGCCAACTGAAAACACATTTTACAAGCAGAAAAACAACTTGGGTTCCAAAACTGATCTTTCTACTTCCTACCCATGGCACCTGGAACTGGTTTTTGGTGTGACTCCTAGCCTGTTTCATTATCAGGGAAAGTGGGGGTGACGAGCACCTTGTGGAGTTGCTAAAGACTGGCTGAGGAGCCTGTGGCCACAGGGAAGGCTCCATGGAGACCCGGCCATGACACCAGCAGCAGGCCTTCTCTGGGGCCTTCTCCTTCATGGGAACCGCAGGCTCAGGGACCTGCAGCCCCTGGCTCCCATTCCCCCCACCCCTTGTCCCCACCAGCTATGGGACAGGGGCTCCTGGCAAGATTTTCCAGCCAAAGCAGACAGCTGGGCTTAGATCCCCTTTGTTGGTTTCCAGCAAATTAAAATTTCTCTCAGGGAGGAAATGAGGGGTCAGGGTTTTTTCCTTCTCCTTCTTAATGGGCCCTGATGAAGGAAAGGAATGGAGGAAAGGATCAGAAATCTGATCCACCACTCGTCAGCTCAGAAAGGTCGGGGGGGCTCTGTACGCCCTCACCGGGGCAGCTGGACACAGTATGTTTTATTATATAATTAACCTTGACCCTTCTGGGTTCAAAGAGAGAGGTTCGTTGGAAATAAATCAATAGTCTGGGCTGATCACTTCAAAGGCTACAGAACCCACTGGAAAATTCCACGTTGGTTCAGTGTGTAAATTGGAATAGGTGCGTGATTCTTTTTGAAAGGTGGGAGGAGGGTTTGGGGTTGAAAATTGAAATTAATTGTGCATCCGCTTCCTTTAATCAGGCAATCAGGAGTCATTATTGTATATCTTGGAGGAGGGGACAGGAGAAAGACTTGTGACCTCCAGGTGACCGCAGGCTAGAGGACAATAGGCATCTCTCCAGGCCGGCAAGCCCTTCCTGCATCACGCATGTCTGGAACCCTTACACTCACCCAACCGCCACCCTCATAACATGTAGCATGTACTGGGTGCTTACTATGCACCAAGTGTCAAGGGTTTCCTGGTTATGTTTCTCATTTGACCCTCATGACAAGCCAATTACTTAAGTCCTGTTGTTATCTCTATTATCGATGAAGACATTGTGCTTCAGAGAGGCAAAGGATCCGGATGTTTTCAGTCTGCTTCAATGCCCTGGTTCAAAGATGAAAATGATCCAGGAAGAGTTGCAAATTACCAAATAATGTCCCTTATCCCCACGTCTAGTTCCCTGAAGTTGTTAGAAGGCGGGCGGCGGGGGGGGGGGGGGAAGCTGGAACAGAGAGCAAATTTTTTTTCTTGTGCTGGGGACTGAATCCAGGCTTTGCATAATAAATACTCTACCAGTGAGTGCTACATCCTAGCTGCTACAGCAGCTTTATCTTGGTTTGGTTGGTTTGGTTTGGTTTGGTTTGAAACAGGGTCTTGCTATGTAGTTCAGGCTGGTCTTGGATTCACTATGTAGCCCAGGCTGGCCTCCAACTCATGATGATCCTCCTGCCTCAGCCTTCTGAGTACTGGGATTAAAGGAGGGCACCAGTTTAGATCAGGTTTATTTTAAAGTCATTCTTGGCTTCATCTCTAGTTCTTTTTGGGGGGATGGGGGGTACTGGGGATTGAACCTGGGGGCCCTCTCACATTATAGGCAAGTACTCTACCACTCAGCTACATCCTCAGCCCTTCTGGAAAACTTCTTATCTTGAGACATGATTTCACTAAAATGCCCATGCTAGACTTAAACTCGAGATCCTCCTGCCTCAACCTCCAAGTTATTGGGGAATACAGGCATGCACCTCCTTGTCCAGTTCTCTAGTTCATCTTTCATTCCCTTTTCTCTTTTTCCTCTATCTTTCCTTTCTCCCTTCCTCTTTCCTGCTCTTTCCACAAGCATTTGTTGAGGATTCTTTGCTACTCCATGGCAGCACCATCGGGTCATAGAGAGATAAAGACCTTGTGCTTATCCTTGAAAACTTCCCCCTAAGTCCTCCGAGCCACTACAGACTTGTGCGTTGTGCATGTCAACCTCAGAAGGAGGCATTCAGGGTGGGCAGGTTGAGCAAGATTTAGAGGACAGTGGAGAAGGAGGTACTCCTGCTGGCGAGGATCTGGGAAAACAGCAGGCGGGAGCTGTGATGTTTTGAAGGATCTGGGGGCGGGGATGGTGGAGGAGAGGCTCCAGGTGGAAGGAATCCCTGCCAGATAGACCCAGAGTACTGTGTGCTCAGGAGAATCCTGGCAGCTTAGCCCTGATAACAGGCACAAGCAATGAAGCCCTGACTAGCAGTAATAGCAGGCACGGGGCCTGAGCGTGTCACGGCCATGGACCTGTCTACTGCACACAGAAGCCCTTGTCCACAGCTTACAGGGAGGACAAGAAGGCACAAGTCCAGGGATGTCCCTGAGGTCACACTGACCTGGTCACACAGCCAGGGTGACAAAGCGGAGCCCTGCTCCCAACCACTGCATGACACTGCCTCTGGTGGCAGCCAGGCTAGAGGCATTGCTCTGCTCCAGGGCAATGGGGAGCCATGGTGGGTTCCTCATCTGTTTGCATTTCAGGTCACTACTGGGGGGAGTGTCTGACACTGCTGGGTCTCCCCTGACCCTTCCGAGAACTTCTATTTTAGCTAATTTTAATCCCTCCAATTCCCCTTGTCCTCCTTACCTGGATACAAATCACCAGACAGCTTAGGACAGGGCCAGGCCTCGGTTTCCCCATTCACCAAAGGGGAAGACGATGCTTGCTCTAGCCCTGCCCACCACAAGGTCATCTGAAGATGCAGATGAGGTGGAGATGACCGAAAAGCACCATAGGAAGGAATGGCAGAGGTGAGCCACCATCATCAACGTTACCACAGACGGGCTCCTGAGCCGCCCCTGTTGGCACACACCTGTAACCTCAGCACCCTGGGAGGCTGAGGCAGGCAGGTCGCAGGTGCCAGTCTAGTCTGGACAATTTAGTAACTTAATGAGACCGTCGCAAAAATAAAAAATGAAAAGAGCTGGGGATATAGCTCAGTGTGAAGGCAGTAGATTCAATCCCCAGGGCCCTACAGGAGGAGGGTGAAGAGGGAAGGAGGAGGCTCCCTCCTCTTCCAGGAAACCCCAGTCTATCTGTCCCATTCCATGATTCCTTTCCACCTGTGAAGCCACAAAAAGCTTTCCCCGGAGGCATCAGCTATGCAAAAAGCACGGGCTCCAGGACTCCGGTAGGCTTTCGGTTGCATGTGTCCTGACCACGTGCTCCGTGCCAGCTCCTCTGTAGCCTTTGCTCCCCGCCGAGCCTCCAGCCCCGCTGCTCTCTCTCCCTCCCACCCCTCTTCCTGGCTTCCTTAACCCACTGCTTTGGCCATCGCATTTGCTCTGTCCCGCTGACTTGTGGCTGGAGCTCATCCGACAGTTTGGGTAGGCTGTGGTTATTTGTATTCCAACCTACAGACCATGAACTCCTCAAGGGCTGTGGCTCTTTTGCTTGGGTCTCTACAACCCTAATCGCTTCGTTCAACCCCACCAGCGGGAACCAGGCCTCGGTCCCCATGGCTGTAATCCTCTCTGTCTCCACAGGGTGGCAGCAAATCCTTCCAATCACAGCCTCTGTTCTCCAGCGCGCAGAGCTAGAGGCTGCTGCTGAGACCAGAGACCCCGTGGGCTCCGGGGAGGCCAGGCCAGGGGTAGAACCCCTTCCAGCTCAGTTTCTTCTTCATTCTGCCTTTTCCACACCCCACACTTAGGGGCACTTTGCCCTGCCGGCACTTTCTCTGTCTATTGTAGTGGATCTGCCTGCAGTGATGGCACACGCCTGTAATCCCAGCATTTAGGAGGCTGAGGCAGGAGGATTGCTGCAAGTTCAAGGCCAACCTGGTCTGCCCAGTGAGTTTGAAGCCAGCCTGAACTACAGAGTGAGTTTCAAAAAACCTATATTAAGAAAAAGTCCAGGGCCGGGGATTTAGCCCAGTGGTTCTGCCACCTGCCTCACAAGGGCAAGGTCCCAAGTTTGATCCTAGGGAACAAAAAAGAAAAAAAAAAAAGAAAAAGTCCAGTGGGTCTTTAGAATACCTCACCAAGTTATTGGCTGTGCTGGGGATCGAACCCAGGGCCTCATGCATGCTAGGCAGGAACCCTACCCCTGAACCACACCCCCAGAAAATTTTTTTAATATATGGTGTGAGGTAGGGGTCTAAATTTAATCCTTTGCCTGTGAATCTCTAATTGTTCCGGCACCATTTATTGAAAAGAATTCTTTCTCTATTGAATGGGCTTGGCACCCTCATCAAATCAGTCGTCCATCGCTGTGAGACTCTCAGTGCTATTTGACTGTTATACTGTATACGTCTGTGCTTGTGCCAGTGTCACACTGTTTCAATTACTGCACCCTTGTAGTAAGCGTGCAAATCAGGATGAGTGAGTCCTCCAACTTTGTTCTTTGTTCTCCAAGTTGTTTTATCTATTTGAGGGCATATTTCATAAGCATTTTAGGACCAGCTATCAAATTCTGCAAAGAAGCAGCCAGGGGCAGCAACCCTCTGAGGTAGGGGCCATATTATCCCTTTTGTACAGGTGGGGAAATTGAAGCTGAGAACAGTGAAATTATCTGCTCGTGGTTCCTCGACTAAGGAATGGCAGAGCCAGGGGTGGAAGCCCCCTGGCTGGGCTGTGGCATCCACACCCTGGGCCAGGGCCACACTTCTCACTTGGAGCCGGCATGAGCAGTGGCTGGTGCCCAGGTGGCACAGGCCTGAAAGCGTGTGGCCACCCGGGCCACCAGCCGGTGTTAGACACCCCCCACCCGCCCCCCTAGAAAGTGACCCCTGTGCTGGGTGTGGAAGGGAAATCTTCACTATTTCCTGCGTCCCCTGGCCCCCATTTTCACACCTCAGCCTCAGCCCCACTCACTGGGGCCTTGGTGGCCATGGGAGCGATGACCCCAAGATTCCACAATGAAACCCCCCCATGGCTTCACCCAAGACAAAACCAGGCCAGCCAGGGATTGGACCCAAGGGTTTTCCTTTGTAGCTCAGTGCCTGCGCCTCCTCCTTTGCTGCAGGCCTTCATTCAGCAGTTGCTAAGGGAGCGATGGAGACACAAACCCACACCCCAGGAGCCAGATTGTGAGGCCAGGGGACAGATGCGGGGACCAGAGTGGCCCAGGGCACCATGGGTATTCGGTGGGGAGGGAGGCCCCTGGAGCAGGTGGGAGATCTGGAGAAAGGGCCTCAGGCATGAGGAGAAACAGAGTGGAGTGGCAGAGTCGGGCCAGGGCATGGGCGTTTTGGAGTGATAACCAGGGCCAGCTCCTGCATCATGGCAGTGGCACATGGGATAGGGTGAGTGACAGCCAAGTCATGTCCCTCAGCAAGGAAGGCTCTTCCTTTTCCTGCCCATAATTCCTGTCAGCCTTTTGCAGGGGGTTTCCAGAGGGCCAGGGGAGCAAAAGAGCCCCTTGGGGCCGGGGATTTAGCTCAGTGGTTTCATCACCTGCTGTGTAAGTGCAAGGACCGGAGTTTGATCCCCGGTACCAAAAAAAAAAAAAAAGACCCCCATGCTTCTTTGAGAGAGGGGCACAGGGGGAGCTCCCATGGCTGTTTCCACTCCAGTCTGTCAGTCTGTCTCCAGCCCTGCTTCTCACCACCCAGCCCCCTCTCCTGAGTGCCACCTCCCTAAGCTGTCCCACTACACAGAGAGCCCTGACCTCTTGTCCCACAGCAGCTGCCCTGGCTATCCCTTGGCTATCCTATCCCTTGGCTCTGGCTGAGCTTGTGGTCAGCTGTGTCCTGCAGCTCGTTGTCAACATGGCTGCCACTAAGCCAAGGCTCCTTCAGCCAGTGGTGACCCTCAGCAGCCCCAGACACCTGGCTTCAGGAACTGGACCCATGGGACAATGGAGGAAAGGGAGGCCTGGCCAAGGGTCCTGGCTGTGGTCCCTGGGAAGGGTCACTCAGTCAGAGCCTCAGTTTCCTTACCATTAGGATGGAAGGAAAATAGTCCTTTCTCATAGGCAACTCGTGAGACGCACACAGCTTTCGAGGCACCTGGGAGGGCTAGGTACTCCTGCAGTGTGCATCCTGGGTTCCTCACAGGAGAACTGGATGGTGGCTAGGCCTGGATACCAACCTGGAGCTTACCACTGGCTGGCTGGGGGAGACTTGGGACCTTTCCTTCACTCTCTCTTTTCCTGGTCACTAGCCAAGCTACCTCAAAAGGTGCTTGAGGACTCATGACCTGCCTCTATGGGCAAAGACCTAGCCAGTGCCAGCTCACAGCGAGCGCTATCTCAGGCTCCGGCCTGTGAAGGTCCCACCTGCCCAGCATCCCACTCCCAGGACCTAACAAAGCCACCAGGACACTCAGGGTTCACTTTGGCAACAGGACTTTTATTCAGTCAAAATGAGGAGCGTGTGACAAAACCCAAGGCAGGCCAGGCGGTCCCCAGCCACTCCTGCCCCAGCCCCACCTCTCCAAAGGAGCAGGAGCCAGGACAGAGCGCACACTGTCACTTGGGAGAAGGGAGGGACTATACTTCTGCAGTCCACAGGTACACGACTCTAGGGTTCTAGGAAAACACCACAAATTCTACCTTCTTCAGCTAATTAACTAAAGTTCAGGGTAAGGTTTCCCTAGAGGTTGTGGGGGGTCAGGACTTAATGCTCTAATCTCATTCTTAAGAAATACACTTATCTTTTTGTTTTCTTTTAAAAAAAAGTTTTCTTTCTTCTATTTAAAAAAATGTTCTGAGTGTAACCAAAAATAGGTATTTGTTTCCTTTTTTTTTTTTTCCTTCCTTCTTTACCCAAGTAGTTCAAAGAACAACACAACATAAAAGAGAAACAAAAAGTCACAGGAACATGACCCTTAAACACACCTCGTATAAAAATAGCTCCTGGCCACATCTGCTGATAGCGGTGGTTCCACCGTGCAGCGGTCGGGTCAGGCTGGCTGTGTCCCACGACATGGGCCTGGGCACCTCCGCCGAGGACACACACCACTGTCTCACACGCAGTACATTCTGGGGCCAGGCCCATCCCAGGCCCTGCATCTACAGGACAGGAGGCAGGGAC